CTGATTGCTGCTATGACAATGGCTGCCTGATGCCTAAAACTCTTGGGAATAGAAATTCTGGGCACACGGGCCAAGGGGAACCCACGGAGGCACTGGAGTGTTCCAGGCAGAGAGTGAGGAGAGCACTGAGTGGCTTGCCTAAGTCTCCCTTGTGCAGGTGTTTGAGAATTTGCTTGACTATTTCTCTATTACAGAACACGTGGTTTGTTTTCACATCACAGCATCCAAGGAGTTAGTAATCTTGGGTGGAATCTAAATTGGCATTGATATCTAAGAAGTTCAGTCTGGGGAAGAGGCAGAGAAAAGGGCTTCTTTTGGGATAATCTTTCAAATGCAGGGCTGGGCCCTGGTTCCCGGAGCAACATACCTTGCCAACATCTGGAGATCGCAGGATGGCATGCAGGTGTGGTGGAGTCGGGCGGACCTGCAGATTGTTAGGGGCTGTTTGAGGCAGCCTCTGCTTTGCCAGGAAAACTGAAATGCAATGTTGAAGCTCAGGTATGAGAACCATTCAGAGACTGGAAGTGAGCCTGTAGCTTTGTGGGTATCCACAAACCATCACCTTCCACGAGCCACTGAGTTCGGGGCAACTAAAAAAATTCAGAGCATTGGAGGCTTCCAATACATTGCAGCCTCAGACGGACGAAGTGACTTAGAAACAGGGTAGTACTAAGCTGGTGGAGTCTCAAGACCTGAAGTTGAGCAGACAGCATGAGGCATGAAGCATCAGGTTGGGAGCACAGTGCTTATTAGTTCTGTGAATTTGGGCAAGTTACTCAACCTCTCTGTGGCTCCGCTTCTCCACTGTAAGTCACAGATAATGCTGGTACTTACCTTACAGGTTTGTTATGATGATTAAATGAGTTAATATCTGTAAGTTTTTAGAGCAGTGCATGTCAGATATCAGAACTTGTTAAATAAATAAAAGACATTTTATCCTTTACTTGTAACTTAAATGTGAGTTCTTCAGGGAAGCCATCTAAGACATACACATCCCCCAAGAGAAGGCTAGGTTCTCCCTTTATAGGGTCCCATCATACTCTGTATTTCTCTATTGCATTTATCAAAAAATTTTTTTGAGACAGAGTCTCGCTCTGTCACCCAGGCTGGAGTGCAGTGGCACAATCTTGGCTCACTGCAACCTCCACCTCCCAGGTTCCAATGATTCTCATGCCTCAGCCTCCTGTGTAGCTAGGAATACAGATGTGCACCACCACATCTGGCTAATTTTTGTATTTTTAGTAGAGACAGCGTTTCATCATGTTGGCCAGGCTGGTCTCAAACTCCTGACCCCAGATGATCCGCCTGCCTCAGCCTCCCAAAATGCTGGGATTATGAGCCACCATGCCTGGGCCAAAAATAAAATTAAATATCTAATAATCTCACCCTACTCAATAGATGGAAGGTTCATGACATTAGAAGCCACTTTGTATTGTGTGCTGCTCTATTTTAGCATGGAGCACAATGCTTCATACATAACAGTATTCAGTACATATTGTTGCATGAATGAATTAATGAAGACTGTGTCTTCTTCTCAACGGCCAGCGTACAGCACAGTTTGACTTAAAGGAGGTGCTCCTTACATGATGGCTGGATTGAGCTTAAATATTACTCTCAAGAGATAGTCCTAAACTGAAACTATAGGATATTATCATGATACAGGTATTAGTTACAGCCATGGGGACTGATGCAGGTATCCTACTAAAAATATTAACAAGGCTGTGGCACAGACCCTCAGTGATCAGAGTAGACATGCCTGCCAAGTGCTACTCCTGTAGTTACCGGAACATGGAAGGTCCAGAGAGCCTGGACCTATGGTTGGGCTGTAGGTGGAAGGTATTCGGTTGGCTCAGAGTAGAGGTTTCTTTACACCAGATACAGAAATACTGCATTATGTTAACAACCAGAGTAGCTTCACAGGTGCAAAGTGACTGGATGCCAGCCCTGAGCCTTGAAGAGCATATGGGGTGAGAAGCAAAGTCTGACAAGGATGGAAACCATGGGGACACCTGTGTCTAAGAGATGAGCAGCAGCAGATATTCCTGCAAAGGAAACTGAGAACAACTGATCAATGGAAGGCAAACCAGGAATATTGTCCCAACATCCAAGAAAACTTCTGGAAAAGACAGTTTACAGCGTCAGATGCTGCAGTGACCACAAATGGATGGAAGATGAAAAGCCATCTATTAAGGACATCAACAGGAAACCAGTGGCAGCTCCTGGAACAATGTCACAGAAAACTGAGGGCTTCCAGGGCGTCAATTTACGGGAATGAGGAGTAACTAAGAAAAAGACGTACATGCAGGTGGAGAGATCATTCTTTTCTCAAGACAGACAAGGTTACTTGTCGCGGTTAGAGACAGCTGCCGGGGTCAAGAGAGTATTTCAGCTACTTACTAATATACATACTTGTTTATAAAAAGACACCCAAGTATACTTAAAAGATATGAAGGGCCATCAAGAAAAGCACCATTGAAATATTGGAACAGGAATAATTAATATGTTTGAATAACAAATTAGTCGTCGCCAGGCACGGTGGCTCACGCCTGTAATCCCAGCACTTTCAGAGGCCGAGGCAGGTGGATCACAAGGTCAAGAGTTTGAGACCAGCCTGATCAACATGGTGAAACCCCTGTCTCTACTAAAAATGCAAGAATTAGCCTGGTGTGGTGGTGTGTGCCTGTAATCCCAGCTACTCAGGAGGCTGAGGCAGGAGAATCTTTTGAATCCTTTGTATTTTTAGTAGAGACGGGGTTTCACCATGTTGACCAGGATGGTCTCGATCTCTTGACCTCGTGATCCACCCGCCTCGGCCTCCCAAAGTGCTGGGATGACAGGCGTGAGCCACCGCGCCCGGCTCTCTCTCACCATCCAGGTGGCAGAGGTTGCAGTGAGCCGAGACCGCCTCACTGCACTCCAGCCTGGGTGACAGAGTAAGACTCTGTCTCCAAATAAAAGAAAAGTTGTCATTTGTTATCTACAGAGAATGTAGGGGCAGAAAAAGGGAAATATTTGCTCTCCAACTCTGCCTGTATAATATGCAAAACTGACCACAGTTATTAGGTCCTGAAAGGGGGTAAGCTCCTTGTGCCATTTTCTTACAGTGCAATATAATAAAACAAGGAATAATCAGTCCAACAGAATAAAATATACCAAAGGCATGGGCGTTATAAAATAATGCCTGGGTCCAAAGGGAACATGAGAATGAAAAAAACAAAGCAACCAAAACAACAAGCTTAAGAGGGACCACCAAACAGAGGCTGGAGGAAACGATACGTTCTAGACATTTTCATGTGCATAATCAAGTATCTGAAGCCTTATGAAAGAAGTCTGTGCTTGAGAACTTTAAAAGTGAACAAATAACCGGCCAAAGGAAGGAAGGAAATCAGGGGGAAAATAAAATCTGAAACAGAAAACACTGGAAAAAGAGCACAACTACTGAGACAATAAAAATCATACAGAGAGCC